ATTATATGGCTCCTTAATTAACTGAAGATAATGGCCTATAATTAGCACTTTTAACTCTTCTTTATTAAATTGTTTCGATTGTATTCACTAAAAAGGGAGTAGCTTTTTTGTCCTAAAAATTTAGAAAACAATACCCCTAATTAAAAATATGGACAATATCTCAACATTATATCCATGTCATCATTAATTGTGACTTAATCTCTAGATATGAACTGCATCTCTTTGTCATTCATTATAATCTATTTCAATTATTTTGATCTTTCAACATATTTTTAGTAATCAAATTTTTCGTTATCCTCATTCTATAAATGCTTCTATTATCCAGCTTCTAATGGATTAGCATGTTTCTCTTTCCAAGCATTATAATATCTTTTCTTTTCATCTCGAATCTTTTGTATGGCATCAACAATATCTGGATATCGTTATTCTATTCTTTTGTAATCAATTCTATTCAACTTATATACTATTCCAATTTAACTTGTACATATGGCTTTCCATTATCTCTTTTCTTCATCTAAAAATTCTTCAAGCCCAATAGTTTCGTTTTTTCCTAAAATACAAATTTCGGATTCTCTCTCAATACAATTAATCTCGTTGCTGTCGTCCTTTTCTTCTTTTTTATATATATTAGAAAGCATTTTAAACTCACCCTCTATTATAAAATATAAACTGCTTCCTTTTTCACCATATTTATATATTATATCACCATAATTATATACTTTTCTCTCCATAATCATAAATAATGCTTTGACAGTGTTTTTTGATATTTCTTTTAGAATTGAATTGCAACTCAAAGTATCAAGCAGATGCAAAAATTATCTCTTCGTTTTTGTAGCCATTATTCTGTCAAATGAATCCTTGTCTAATCCTAATATAAATGAATCTGTGACTGAAATAACATCTGCACCTCTTGGTTTTCTTTCCTATTATTAGATATTTATATATACTAATAAGGCTAATTCACCAAAATAGTCCCCATCATTTAATGTCATAATTTCTTTTATTTATTCATGATATTTATCTCTTTTTTTTCCTTTTTTTGTAATATATGATCCAATATTAGTTACTACTCTTTTTACAACTTTTACTTATCCTTTTATTATTATGTAAAAAGTATCCCCATAAGTATCTTACTTTATAATAGTCTCATTTTTGCTATAAATATGCAATTTTGCATTTTCTGCTACATCTTCTAGCATACCTTCATAATGCTCATTAAATTATTCCTTGAAAAATTTGATATTTCTAAAGGAATTTATTAATAATCTAGTTTCATGAGGTTTTCTAAATAAAACCGGCTTCTTACATATTTCTATGATTTGCTCTAACTTAATTACAATATTACCTCTACTCCAGATTCTTAGTGCACTTATTATTGTTCATGATTAGAATGTACACTGCTTGATCTTCTTTTAGCTGCAGAAATCTTTTTTTGTCTATTCGCCATTGAAATTAATATAATTTATTTTAATAAAATATTCTTAAGTAAATATTTATGATTTCAACCGAAATGTTTAAAATATTGTTATAATTAGAAGAATTGCTAAGTTAGTTATATTAATTGTTTCTTAAAAGTGTGTTAACTGAAAATAACCCTAAAAAAGTCTTCAATAAATTATATACATACTCATGGTTTGTTTGAAAATTTATCCTCACTTAAAGATTTCTTAGTAATCAATAATATTACGAGATAATTGTAAACTCAACCTTTAAAATTAATTTTGTTATTAATTCTGAAACTGTAATTTATTAATTAAACAACATTTAATGGGTAATAAATCCGGATCAGAATTTGGAGGAATTATGATTAGAACTGAAAAATCTTTATATTTTGCTGGAGATGTTGTCAAAGGTAAAATTCAATCATAATTTTAGGAAATATATACCTTCATATCATAAAACCTGGTTATCATGGAAATGTCGTTCAATTTTCAATAGTAGGAAAAGAGAAAACTCGATGGACAACTGGTTCTGGTAAACACAGAACGACACATTATGGGAAAAATGTCTTCCATCGAGATACTGTTGTTATAAATACTTTTTTAAATGAAAACTTAATGGTTGGACAATTTGTTTTCCCTTTTGAATTACATCTTCCACCAAATCTACCTGGATCTTTTCATTATCATCAACACATATTAGCAAGTCTTAATTACAAAGTCAAGGCTAGAGTAATATCAACCTCTAATTCAATTAATGATATCAAGAATAAATAAGAAATTATTATCCGAGAACCTATTAAAGAAGTTTTATAGGTTTCTTCAAAATAAGAGACTGCTTATCTGAGAACATGGTGCTGCAAAGAACAAGGAGTAACAATTATATTTAATATAGTCTTCGTCAATATCTGCAAAAGTAGCAAAAAATTTATATTTTCCAGCCGAATTTGTATAAATAACATATGATATTGATAATTCAGATTGTAAGCTTAATATAGAAAATGTTGATGTAATTATTGTGAATAGACTAAATATCAAATCTAATTCAGGTTCTTCATGTCATATGGAATTCAAATTAAGCGCTTTATCTCATAATGGAATATAAAAAGGAATGAAAATATAACCATCTGCTTAAATTGGATGCTCCTTACAATTGGTTAATGCTCAACATCCAGAAATTGTTCTCACACCTTCAACAACAGGAAATTTTGTGAATTCATCATACTATGTGAAAATATCTCCAAATTACGAAGGTAAAAATTTGAAATTTTGTAAGGCTGCACATGTTGTAGTACAAAACCGATTGTATTAGTACCAATAACTGTGTTGGCAGTCCTTCCATAAGATTATTTAGAACCAATCGCGCAACAGCCTGATAATTGGCAACCCCAATCATTTTAACCTTTGATAATAAAATCAAACAATGTTGACCCTTTCAATAACAATAACAATAATTTGAATAAGATGGCCAATCCAATGAACAGCTGATCTTTTATTAAAATAATATTCATATTTAATAATTGTATTAATTAAAGGGCAGATCTTTTACGGTTGCATAATATTTTTATGAATTTGAAATTTGATAAATCCATGACTTTGAAATTAATGTAGTAATTTTTAAGAAAGTTATAAAGCATTCATAAATATGGCATTTTTGAACAAAAAGTTGTAATGATTGAAAAAAGATAATTTGCCAAATTTAGTATTAAAATTTGGGAAAAATCTACATTNTTTTAGGAAATATATACCTTCATATCATAAAACCTGGTTATCATGGAAATGTCGTTCAATTTTCAATAGTAGGAAAAGAGAAAACTCGATGGACAACTGGTTCTGGTAAACACAGAACGACACATTATGGGAAAAATGTCTTCCATCGAGATACTGTTGTTATAAATACTTTTTTAAATGAAAACTTAATGGTTGGACAATTTGTTTTCCCTTTTGAATTACATCTTCCACCAAATCTACCTGGATCTTTTCATTATCATCAACACATATTAGCAAGTCTTAATTACAAAGTCAAGGCTAGAGTAATATCAACCTCTAATTCAATTAATGATATCAAGAATAAATAAGAAATTATTATCCGAGAACCTATTAAAGAAGTTTTATAGGTTTCTTCAAAATAAGAGACTGCTTATCTGAGAACATGGTGCTGCAAAGAACAAGGAGTAACAATTATATTTAATATAGTCTTCGTCAATATCTGCAAAAGTAGCAAAAAATTTATATTTTCCAGCCGAATTTGTATAAATAACATATGATATTGATAATTCAGATTGTAAGCTTAATATAGAAAATGTTGATGTAATTATTGTGAATAGACTAAATATCAAATCTAATTCAGGTTCTTCATGTCATATGGAATTCAAATTAAGCGCTTTATCTCATAATGGAATATAAAAAGGAATGAAAATATAACCATCTGCTTAAATTGGATGCTCCTTACAATTGGTTAATGCTCAACATCCAGAAATTGTTCTCACACCTTCAACAACAGGAAATTTTGTGAATTCATCATACTATGTGAAAATATCTCCAAATTACGAAGGTAAAAATTTGAAATTTTGTAAGGCTGCACATGTTGTAGTACAAAACCGATTGTATTAGTACCAATAACTGTGTTGGCAGTCCTTCCATAAGATTATTTAGAACCAATCGCGCAACAGCCTGATAATTGGCAACCCCAATCATTTTAACCTTTGATAATAAAATCAAACAATGTTGACCCTTTCAATAACAATAACAATAATTTGAATAAGATGGCCAATCCAATGAACAGCTGATCTTTTATTAAAATAATATTCATATTTAATAATTGTATTAATTAAAGGGCAGATCTTTTACGGTTGCATAATATTTTTATGAATTTGAAATTTGATAAATCCATGACTTTGAAATTAATGTAGTAATTTTTAAGAAAGTTATAAAGCATTCATAAATATGGCATTTTTGAACAAAAAGTTGTAATGATTGAAAAAAGATAATTTGCCAAATTTAGTATTAAAATTTGGGAAAAATCTACATTATAACCAATTTGAGAGCAAATTTAATGCTGAAATTGTATTATTTAAGAGGTTTCTTTTTTAAATCAAATTCTAAAAGTATATAATTACCAGAAGTATAAATGAGATTATTTAATGAGGGTATAAATCATATGTAAAAATCATAAATTATGGAAAAAAAATTAAAAAAGTACAAGATTTTCTATCTTTGAAAATATTTTTCACTTTTCAAGGAGTATTTTTACCCTTATCTATTTATAAATATTGAAGAAATTTTTTGCCTTAATTCAAAGGTAATTTCAAACAAAATATTATATATGATCATTTTATAAAACATCTAATATTATTTTAATTAAATTGTTTTTCCATTTTTAGAATGTTATATTAAATCATATATCTTCAATCTTTAAATTCAGCAATAACCAATTCAAATAAATTATGGACATTAAACAAATCAATTCTGATAATTTTTCATAAAATATTTTTTTCGGTATATTTTTACCATTATTTATTGCTTGATAAAATAATAGAATTCCAATTTTTTAAATAAAATATGAATTGTCCAAATCATCCTCAACATAAAATTTCTGTTATATGTATAGCGCATCACTAATGCTAAAGAAAACTATGTAGTGAATGCTAATACAAACATGGAGGAGATTTAAAAGAATTTCTTCCTTTAAAAGTTTTTCTTGATAAATTATAAACAAAGGCTTAAGAATTCAAACTTTAGACTGAAGAATTCAAAGAATAATTCCCTTAAAAATCTATAATTAAAGAAACCAAAATTTTTTTGAAGAAAAAATGGAAAGAATTAAAAAAATCCTTCAATTGGATTAATGATAATATTGAAAATTAAGATTCTATTTACTTTTAATTAATGAACAATTAACTTTTACCTTAAGAATACTCTTATTAAGATCTTGAGACTATTGTAAAAATTTTATAGGGGAATAAACTAATTGAATGGAATAAATTAAAAACCCATTACTTCAATTAATTGTAGTAGGCTAATTCTTGGCTGAAATAAGAAACTGAAAAATTCACTCATACAATAGATTAAAAACTTTAAGGAATATTAAGCAGTAGAAAAATTTAAGAATGTGTTGGTTTGATATAAGTCGACAAAAGTTTAACAAAAACTAATTTTTAAATAAAGAACACATAATTAAATGAAATTTAATATATTTGGAATGGTGAAATCTTGAAAACGTATTACTATTAAAATTATTAATAGATTTATTATATATGATTTACTAAGTTAGCCATAAATAATTACGAATTTAGAAGAAATCAAGAATCTCCATTGGAAAGGGGAGTTAGGGTAGAATTTCTAGAAGGTGGGATTATGGACAGCAGAATGGAAGAATACAAAATAGATAGTATGTCGTGGTTAGTACTCTATGGATGGTAAAAAAACTGGTTAGTGGGTTGAGACAATCAAAAATTTTTATGAGTACTTTATATATTTAGAATTTTAGTCATGCATAAATATATGAGATAGGAAATTATGTGAATAATTTGAAGTAAGGAATTTGGAAGTATCGCTATGATTTCGAAAATATGTATTAATCTTGATTAATAAATAAAAAGGGGAGGCGGAGAATACAATGACTAAGAATTGAAGATTGGATATTGGATAGAGTTGAAAGTTGCAGCATAACCTCTCATTCTTAAAGGAGAATATGATAAAGGTATGAAAATTGGTAAATGGGAAATATTTCAACTATCTTACCAAAAACTTTCAATTGCTAGTGGATACTATGATAAAGAAGGAGAAGGTTTAAAGATTGGGAAGTGGGTGGATTTTAATGAGGGTGGTTTTTAGGATTATCAAGATGATTTTGTAACGTATTAAGGTCAATACCAAAAAGGGAAAAAATTAGGTCGATGGGAAATAAAGAAGGATGCGGATAAAAAATTTAAAAGTGGATTTTATGAAAATGATCTTAAGATAGGGAGATGGGCGATATTCAATGATTAGTATATACCCTAATGTATATATGTTGGTGAATATCTTAATGGTATCAAAGCTGGTAGATGGCATATTTAACAGAAAGAATCTAATAAATATGAAAAGAAGTAAAAAAATAAATTAGATATAATTAGATTTGATTACGGAGTATTTCGAGGAGGATCAAGTGAAATTAAAATTGGAAAATGGTTAGAGTATATTGACATTTCTTTAAAATTTGCTTATAGCGGAGAATATAAAGATAACAAAAAGGTTGGTCTATGGACTATTATCCAGACTGAAACAAAAAAAGTCATGTACATCTTAGATATTAATATAAATATATTTTAGTGGTGGAGGGGTATATTGCACCAATGGCAATTAAATTAAAAATGGAAAATGGGTAGAGTTGATAGATACACATAGTGCTTCAATTGTTACGTATAAAAATGGGAAAAAAATTGGAAGATGGGGGATTTATTATCTTAATTATTCAATGTTACCAGATGAATCAGCTAATCATAATGGTGGCTGTGGGTCTTACAAAGAAGGAGAGGATGAAATAAAGATAGGCAAATGGATTGAAATTGTATAGAATGGAAAATAAGAATTACGTGAAATTGGTGTCTATTAAGAGGGTCGAAAAATTGGATAATGGAATATTGATTATTGGATTTACTCTGATAAAAAATTTGAACTAATGTATTATTAAATATCATCAACATAATTTAGTGGAGGAGGATTTTATGATGAAGAAGGTAGCGGCATTAAAATTGGTTAATGGGTTGAATTATGTTGCATGTTTGGAGATAAATTTCAAATATTATATAATGGTCAATATAGATAAGGTAAAAAATTTGGTTAGTGGGATATACTACGTCAAAATGGAAAAGCAGAATAAAAGTAAAACATTTCCTAATTGATACACTTAGTAAATTATAATTAAGAGACACAGAGTAGAAACTTGAGTCGAGATATGAATAATTATTAGAAGGATTTTATAATGATTCATTAATAAATCAGAAGAGTGAAATGAAAAATAACTTGTATGTTGGTAGTCGATTCAATCATAAGGAACTATTCGATTTAATGTATGATAAGATCATTTAAATCTTTAGAGGAGGAGGATAATATGATATAAACGGATTAAAAATTGGCCATTGGGTTGATTTCAGCAATGACTTTATTGAAAGCTCATAAATTCTATGTGTTGGCGAATATTCAAATGGTGAGAAGGTGGGAAGGTGGGACACTTGGAAAATAGAGGATAATTAATATACATTAATGTAATTCCAAATACATACATTAGTTGCGAAGGGTCATATGATATCAAAGGTGAAATTAAAATAGGCAATTGGAGAGAATTTGATAGAAAAAAAAGAGTCTCTTCTTAGGGGAAATATTAATAAAATATAAAAGTTGGCTTGTGGAAAGAATATCAAGAAGATCAACTTATGTAATTTAAAAATAAATAATGCAAATAGCGGTTAAAAGAATTATGATGAATAAGGAGTGAAGATATTTGAAAGTCGAGAGTAATTTGAATCATATTTAATAATTAGGCCAATAATATAAGTAGGTGATTTTAAAGGTTGTAAAAAAGTTGGAAAGTGGGAAGTCTATTATAAAGCTAAAAATGAAAAATATTTTGAAAAAATGTAATATCTAAGAATTATCTTAGCGGAGGAGGATCTTATCATGAAGACGGAAATGGTATGAAGACTGGAAACTGGGTAGAGATTAGTGAGGAGTATAACGATTAATGTAAAGTTATCTAATAAGGTTAATATCAAAATGATAACAAAATTGGTCTATGGAAAGAATTTGATGGGAAGAACTTATCGTAAATTTTTTATAAATTAATATTAGTTAGTGTTCAAATTACAGTGAATAAGGAATTCTAATTTATGAAAGTGGAAAGTATTTGAGCATAATTATGTTTAATTAGTCCTTAAAATGTGCTGTATGAAGGAGAATACAAAAATTGGAAAAAAGTTGGAAGGTGGGACGTCTATTATAAAGCTAAAAATGAAAAATATTTTGAAAAAATGTAATATCTAAGAATTATCTTAGCGGAGGAGGATCTTATCATGAAGACGGAAATGGTATGAAGACTGGAAACTGGGTAGAGATTAGTGAGGAGTATAACGATTAATGTAAAGTTATCTAATAAGGTTAATATCAAAATGATAACAAAATTGGTCTATGGAAGGAATTTGATGGGAAGAACTAGTGGTAATAATATTAATTATTCCTAATTATAGTCGTAGTATAAATTATGATGATGAAGGAAATGAGATCTATAAAAGTGGAAAGTATTTTTATCTTAAAAACATCAGGCCAAATAAACAATTGTGGATGGGATAATTTAAGGGTAATTAAAAAATTGGAAGATGGGATATTTCAATTTTGAGCTCTAATTATAAAGAAATATATAAGGGGGGAGGATCATACGATGAATAAGGTGATGAAATTAAGCTAGGTAAATGGATTGAGCCGATTAATGATTTTGAAATAACTTATGAGGGTGAATATAAAAATGGTAGAAAAATAGGTAGGTGGGATATAGTTAACAATTAGTATAAAACCATTATTATAGGAGGAGGATCATATGACGATAAAGGTCATGAAATTAAGATAGGGAAATGGAAAGAAATCAGTGAGAATTCTGCTCATACAAAGTATGAAGGTGAATATAAAAATCAGAAAAAGATTGGTTTATGGAAAGAATATAATGAATATGGTTTATGGTAAAAATATGCGTTATTCCTAATTATAGTGGTTGTATAAATTACGATGATGAAGGAAATGAGATCTAAAAAAGTGGAATGTATTTGAATATTTAAATTTTTTAGACCATAAAGTATGATCTGGGTTGGAGAATTTAGAGGAGGTAAAAAAGTTGGAAGGTGGAATTTCGAAAAACTGAGGGATAATCCCTAAATTGAAAAAATGTATATATATAATCTTATAATTATCAAAAGTGGAGGATCATATGATGAGCAGGGTAATAAAATTGGTATATGGATTGAGTATAATAGAAGATAAATAGATGATCTGGAATTTTTTTATAAGGGTGAATATCATAGAGGTAAAAAAGTTGGAAAGTGGAGTTAGACTTGTTGTGCAAATATCTCTGAAAATTTATTTTTTAGTTTTGGAGGATGTTATAATGATAGAGGAGAATAGGTTGGTGAATGGTCTGAGTTCATCTATGATTTTCAAATCATTTTATCTGGTTAATATAGAAAAGGTAAAAAAGTTGGGAAATGGGATATCAAATAATGGAACAGTGATGGATTATAAAATGATTTGTAAAAATTGAATAATAATAATATTAGCGGTGGTGGAGCATATGATTATACAGGTTTAGCGAGAAAAGTTGGGAAATGGTCAGAATTATTTGATTCTATGCTTTTTTGTTCTTCTGTTAAATATACAGGTGATTATGAGAATGGTGTAAAAGTTGGCTACTGGAATATTTTGGTAAAAAATTTGTATTAAGATTACCAAACTATGTAAGGATAAAAATATCATTAATTTTAGTGGTGGTGGAATTTACAATTATGGAGTGTAGAATGGAGCGTGGATCGAATTAAATGAAAATTTCAATGATGAATTTCAAATTATTCAATAGGGCTAATATATATAGGGCAAAAAGGTTGGTAAATGGGATATTCTTTATAAAAAATTTAATGAGCATTAGTTTATTCAAATGTAAATAATATACAATAATTTATTTAAGTGCCGGAGGCTCATACGATAATAAAAGCTAGAATTTTAAGGAAGGAATATGGTTTGAGTTAAGTGATGGTTTTTGGGAAAATTATTAAATCCTGTATTTTGGATAATATGCAAATGGTAAGAAAGTTGGAAAATGGAAATGTTTCGAAATTGATATTACAAAAATTGAATAGAAAGGGCAAAATAACATGATAGAATTGCTAAATGGATTTTATAATGAATCTTAAATCATATATGATGTAAATCTAATACAAAAGAGAGAGGATTACAGGTTCCAAATGTTATCAAATTTTAATTCAATGTAAAATATGAATAAATCTCTTTAGAGGTGAGGGATCATATGACCTAGGAGGGGATGAAGTTAAAATTGGAAAATGGGTTGAAATAAGTGATAGTTCTACTGAAATTACATATGAAGGTGTTTATTTAAATCAGAAAAAGATTGGTTTATGGAAAGAATATAATGAAAATGGTTTATGGTAAAAATATGCGTTATTCCTAATTATAGTGGTTGTATAAATTACGATGATGAAGGAAATGAGATCTATAAAAGTGGAATGTATTTGAATATTAAATTTTTTTTAGACCATTAAGCACTCTATGGGTTGGAGAATTTAAAGGAATTAAGAAAATTGGGAGGTGGGATCTCTACATTGAAGAGTACTCAAATTTTGTCAATTAGTACTAATATTTTAGATCATTATCAATAGTGGAGGAGGTTTATATGACGAAGGAGGTGATGAAATTAAGATTGGTAAATGGAGTGAGTTGATGAATGATTTGAAAATAACTTATGAGGGTGAATATCATAATGGCAGAAAAGTAGGTAGATGGGATATGATATTTTAAAAAAAAACTATGTAAAAATTTAAGAATAACTATTTTCTTTAGTGGAGGTGGACTTTATAGCGAAGGAGGTGAAGAAATTAAGATTGGGAAATGGATAGAAATTAGTGAGAATTCTGATGAAATCAGGTATGAAGGCGAATATAAAAATAATATAAAAATTGGCTTATGGGTAGAACATATTTACTCATAAAAAATTTTTAAAAATCTTAGTGTAAATTATGATGACGAAGGCAATGAGATTTATCGAAGTGGAAAGTATTTTTATATGCTTTCAATATTAGTCCTAAAAATTAATTGTGGATTGGATAATTTAAAGGCGGTAAAAAATTTGGAAGATGGGAAATTTACTTTAGGATTAATGTTAATAAAAAATTTTTTAAAATGTATAAACAAAATAAAACTTACAATAGCGGAGAAGGATCTTATGATGAAGAAGGAAATGGAATGAAGGTTGGAGAATGGATAGAGATTAATGAGAGAATGAATTATTTATTTCAAACAATTCCTAAAGTTTAACATGGTGAATATAAAGCTGGCAAAAAAATTGGTTTTTGGAAATAATACAAATATACATTTAATAATTTTTAAACTGTGAACAAGATGCTAGAGTAAAATATTTGTAAATATTTAAAATAGGGGCTGTATTAACTATGATGATTAAGGAGGAGAAATATATAAAAGTATTAAGTATTTTTATTAATTTAATTTGATTAGGCCATCATAAATATTAATAATTGGAGAAATAAAATGCTGTAAAAAAGTGGGTAATTGGGAAATTTTAAATTGGTTTGGTAAAGAGTATAAATCGATGTAATGATGATATAATTAAATTTTTAGAGGTGGTGGATCTTATTTTTAAGGAATGAAGATTGGTAAGTGGACTGAAATCCTTGATGATTTTGATAAGGACTTTCAAATGGTTTACATTGGTGAATATAATAATGGTAAGAAAGTTGGAAGATGGGATATTCGTGATATTGAAAAGTGTCAAAAAAATTTTATGTATCAAATTAGTATATAAAAATTTCTTTAGTGGTGGTGGATCTTATGATGATGATGGTGTTGAAATAAAAATTGGAAAGTGGATTGAGCTGATAAATTCACAAATAGCCCTACAAGGTGATTATGAAAATGGAAAAAAAATTGGTCGGTGGAATATTATTGAATTACCTGATGGTAAAATTAAAAATGAACTTGGATCATATTATGGAAAGGATGAAATCAAGTAGGGGAAATGGTTTGATATAACAAAAATATCGTCATAAGACTATTTATATGGGGAGTATTTATTTGGAGCCAAAATTGGTAGATGGGAAGGAGCCTGGTCTGGTTATGGTGGTGATTATGATTCTGAAGGTAGTGGCTAAAAGGTTGGAAGATGGTTAGAGAGTTTTTAAATGGACGATAGAATTCTTTACAAAGGATATTATAAAAATGGTAAAAAAGTTGGTAAATGGGATATCTATAATGATTGCAACGATAATAAAAATTTTATCGGTTTTGGATAATATAGTGAAGGAATAAACGAAATAAAGATTGGAAAATGGTTTGAATTTGATGAATGGCTAGTCTAATATTCTGGTGAATACAATAATGGCAAAAAAGTTGGTAGGTGGGATATCAAATTGCCAGATACTAAAATATAGTAATTTTTTTATATGATTGGCTTAGAGGTGGAGGATCATATGATGGAGCTGGAAATGAGATTATGATTGGAGATTGGGTTAGTCCATGTAAATAGTCGAAGAAGGATTTTTTAATAATTTAAAAAGGTGGATATAAATAAGGGAAAAAAGTTGGTTTATGGAAATTTCTTTGGGAAAATAATTTGATGTAATAAAAAATATTATATGAAAATCTATTTTAGTGGATAAGGAGCATATGATGAGTCAGGTGATGAGATTAAGATTGGAAAATGGATTATACTTAGTGAATTTTCTTTAAAGCGAAAATAATTAACTTTCATTGGAGAATATAGAAATGGAAAAAAAGTTGGTTTGTGGTAAGAGATGATAAAAGAAAATAAATTAACAAAATTGGATGAATATTATTATGATTATTGAAAGATTGACATATATATAAATAGAAAATAACAGTTTATTTGTAATTTTATGTATTTTTTTCATCACTTAAATATTTTTATTAAATCAAATGATAAATTTTAAACTAGATTTTTAGGAAGTATTTTTTTCAATATAACTGAATAGTTTGAAATTTATGGTGCTAAAATTTCGTTAGATCGACACTATTTAAAATGTCATCCCTAAAGTTATATTGTTATAAGCTTTATTAATAGATTTTAAATGATATTTTAAACCAAATCTACTAGGTCAAATTTAAATGAATTACATTTATATTTCTTAATAACTGTATGAAGTGTATTATATGGTTATTGCCCATAAAGTAAATTGTAAATCTATTTATTAATTTTCTCTTGTTTATAGATTAACAAAGAAATTAGAGAAAGCTGTTGATCGAGTGAAAGAATTATTTAATTTAGTCTTTAAATACTCTGATAAAACTATTATTCTGAAATTGGAAGGTAAATTATTGGAGAATCTTAAAGAGAATGGGAAATAAAAATATAGTGATACTGAAGTAGCTCTAAAATTGCATATTTTATTAGTGGAAATTAAAGTAAAATAGAGAGTTATAAGATTTTAGGAAATAAATTTATGGTTTATTAAAAAATAAACAGAATGTTATGATTATGATAGAATATAGGCAGGAGATTTCTAATGAAGTGCAAATTTTTTAGGTTTATATTTTTAGAAAATACAATTTCAACAAACTGATAAATTGAGGAATATCTCAAAGTTCAAAAGTTTTAGGTAATCTGATTTATCATTTTAGATCCAAGTTAAGTTTCATCAAATTCTATCTATCAATAATATATTAAATCATTATTATATTTATATTATATTAGTAATTAATTTTCTTATTTATTTCTGCTATTGCTATTGTTTTACGAAGTAAGTTTGTTAGCTAATTAAAAAAATAAATATAAAATTGAAAAATTTTATTAAATTTTAGTTTTATGAGGGTGTGGTTTCAGGACTCTATATCATAAAGTACCTAAATCTGGCTTTGTGTTTTCTAAACTGAACTCCATGATTTTGTAACTAATAATGAATCTTAAGCAGGATCATTAAGGACTCATCAATTATTCAGACTTAGAAATATATTAATATTGAGTAATCATAAATTGGAAACTTGAAGTATACTCTGACAACTAATTATAAAATCTTCGAAATGTCCATCTCATTTTCAACTAAGAAACTCAATACACCTAAGGTAAATAAGAATAAGAAAAGCTGAAATATAAATGCTTCCACAAATAAACGAGGCAAACTCTCTCATTACCTTTGTTAGAAAAGATATTCAATCATTGAAGATGGAAAATCAAAAAAAAAAACTCTAGAAGTTAAAGGCATATCAAATATTTTAATTATTATTTGTGTTCATCTAGCTTGAGGATCTAAATTAGAATGGAAAACTGGTTTCACTACTTTTCATATATTGCCTCTATAATGTGAGGAATATAAGCTATAGAATAGAAAAATACAAATGATTACTAAAATGTGCTATTCCAAGATAAAACTAGAATAAAAAAGATAGAAATTAAAATACACAGATTGATTACCTTATGATATAGATTGAGTATATGGAAAATTTAGTAAGTCTAATTTATTTTCTGGATGATTTGTTTAATTCTTAAGATTAATACAAAGGAACTTAAAAATTTTAACTTATAATATTTATGAATCTAGGTATGTTTGTATAAATCCTAAATTTAATATAATAAAAACCTATCGAAACCTCTAAAACCTTAATCTTCTCTGCTAAATCCAAAGAGTTCTATAATTTGATTAGCCATTATAGAAACTGCAAATCTTTTTAAAAGAAGTATCTATAATCAAATCATTAAATTAATCATATATGATTTTGCTATGATCCAAAGAATATAATAAGACTTTAAATGCCTGGATAAGTTGGATAAGATAATATTCAAGAAACTTTAATAAAGTAGAAAAGCTATATCTTTTTTGACTTGGTTGAAAAAAGTAACCTAATAATTTTTGTGAACTAAAATCTAGAGATTGGAATAGATTAAAATGGTTATTCACTTTGGTATCCTAATTTCTTTGAGCTGGTTCCTTTAAATACAGAACAAGTAGCTGTGCCTTGTTGAGGCTTATTAAATTTATTATGGTCCTTAGCCATTTCTTAAAACTCTTGAATCATAATTTGGAGGATTTGTCGTAAGAAAATTAATAATGCATAGAATTCTTTTTATATCTATCCTTGAATACAGCCAACATATTGATGCAATTATAAGAGTACTTAAATTTTCTAAAACAATAAAAGCAAAGTCTCAGTTTTTTAGATTTTTCTAATGCTTATAATCTTGTCAAAAAAACTTTATATATTTAGAATGATTAAATGTATAAATTATATGAAAAACTATCAATTTATTATCATCAGGGCTCCTTTTTAACTGCCTTAAAGTTTGATATATACTTTAATTATTTGATTTAAGATCTCTAGAGAAGAATAAGATTAAAAATGCAAATAAGAAATGTCTTCAGAAAAATGACATTAGATGAGTAGTTTTATTTATTGAAGAAATCCAAATCTTTGCATCTGCTGAAGATATAGCTATTTTTACTTTCAATATATAATCTCCCTGGGTTATAGAGGAATTATATATTGAATTAGTTAAAGAATACAATTTTGAGGTTAAAATTAAAAATTTAATTATCAAAAAAGAAAATAATTTAAGATTATGTAAAGCTAGAACTTTTTGGAATGGTATTGCTGAAAAAATATGTTTATGACAATTAAAATGCCTATGTTTATATAGACAATATATGAAATATTCAATTAATGTCAGTAATAAGAATTATGAAACACCAATTTAATGATAAAATCTAAACTTAAAAATAGATAAATTCATTACTTTTATTGTCACCAATACCTAAATCAAAAATAACAGTATTTTAGTTTAAAAAAAAGCATTCTTACTAGTTTTGGTGGTAAGAAAGTTATAACGGATATAGAGATTTATTATTATTGAAGACCAAATTCATCAAAATCAAAGAAAGTAACTGATCCTATTTTAATCCTTGTTGTATCGATCAAATATTTATTTTGCGAAATTTTTGATTGTTTTAGAATTTTGAATATTTCATAATCCTCTTCATTGTCTGCTGTAAAATCTAAAAATTAATGATTTATTGTGGCATGTTTGATTAGTGATTTCACAAGTACAATTTTTTAATATCACAAAATGATATTTTCTAAATTTATAAATTTCATAAAGATGATAACCTTACTTTTTATTTAATACTCAAAAGTAATAAATGATTAAAATACAATAAGATGAAAAAAATCACAAAGCTTAACTATATCTGAATAAAGATTTATAAAGTCTTCTTCACTTGAAAAAACCTATTTACTTTAGTTCCAAAAAAATACAGTTTGATTATTAACAGTTAGAACGTACTCTAAACAAATACCTACTTATTTTGATGTGCAATTTGTTTTGTTTGAACTTTATGAATAATTTGATGTTTCACAAATACAATTATTGTAGAATTTATTACATTTTCAAACCGAAATAACTATAATTTATTTAAAATCATGGCAATACTCATTTACACTTCAGAAGGTCTCATCCTATTATTGTTTTACTTACATATTATTTAACTTCTGAAATTATTCAAAATTATATCTTTGCAAAAATTTAGAAGCTATAAGAATTTCTTCATAAAGCTAAAATATGGAGTAATAATTTCAAAGTTATAATTAACTCAAGCAATACTAAAGTTCTTTTTACCAATTTCGAAGAGTTTATTGTTGATATTTCATCATTCATTAATTATACTAATTAGACTAATTCATAGATTTAATTTGCTTATTCTATTCATCAATTTAGATTTATATTGAATTATATCCATGTTAACTAAAGTTTCAACATAGTGTAAGCTCAGAATTATTTTTTTATAACCAAAAAGATATTTGGATAAGTAGAACAATATAAAAAATCTTTATTTATATAGAAGATTCATTAATCAAGAAAACTTAATATCATTAAATTAATTTTAGCTTAAATATAACATCACATTGTTAATAGATGCCTTTTAGTCTATTGAAATTAGCCATTATCAACTAAAATAAAAAAAAAATCACTTTTTAGCTGAATTATTCATACCTACCTATAATTAAATAATTTTACGATTTGAGTAAAGTGGCTAATCTGAAATTCAAAGAATAAGTAATAATACTCCAACTATAAAGTTTTAAGGTTAGCTTTTTGTTTTAGTTCTATACATCAAGTAATAATTTCGGTTAAATCTAAGGCTACAATTATTTTACAATTTAAACACTACAATAAAAATAATTCAAAAGTATTTTTACTTATGTCAAAATTAAGTTTAAAAAACTCAAGAAAAAGTAGAAGTTATATTTAAATCAAGAATTTTAATTTTACTGTGAATAAAATGATATTAAGAAATACTTGTTTATTTTTATCTCAGATATCTCATCTTAATTAAATTTTGAGAAACTTAGGTCTTAAATCATAATAATATCAATTATATCAATAAATTTCATTATTAATATAATTGTAAATAAATTAAAATCTTAAAATAAATAAAATTAAAATTTATTTTGTGATGTCCAAAAGTGAGAATCACTTAAACTGGGGTGTTAATGACTATTGCAAAACTATGACATAGGACTTGATTGCATTGACTTTGGCAACTTGGGGTCCTAATGTTGTTACATTTAAACCACTTCTTGACGCACTGAAGTTTACGGAGCTTGAAGCTTAATAGCTTGCTCTTTAACCAAGTTCTAGAATATCTACAATGGCTTAAAAAATATTATCATCTTAGAGTAAACTTGCTTAGTTCAAATTACTAATGGAAAGAGGATACTTAAGAGGAAC